AAAAAAACTTTTACCCAGTAATCATTTTATACTTGACAATAAGACCACAGTAACAAGTTCCTTTTTAACTTTTTTTTATAAATTCAATTCAATAAAATTTATCCATATTTCAATGATTATTGTACGGGCAGTTTATAGTTTTGATTAAATTTAACAAAAATATTCTTAATGTTTTCCATTAAATAAGAGGAAAATTTTTTCAATGTATAAATGTATCTAAAAAGAAAAGAAAAAGAGGGGGGGATGAATGAGTAGATGATGAATAAATGAACGAGTAGCACCGAGATAAAGAGAGGGAGGGAGGGAGAGAGGGAAATCCTTTCAACAAGTGTATAAAATTATAAAGAAAGTAAACCCGTATCATTGCTATCAGTATTAGTATGATTATTAATAAGTCATGAAAATTATACTCTTTCATCATATTTCGTTACTATGTCATTTTATATTATTAGTTAGTGAAAAATTCATTTGACATTGAAAATAAGATAAGTTGTTAATTGTAAAGAAATAATTGATATTTTCACGTTTTTTTTTATTCTCTCTCTATTTCTTATTTAATGGAGATTAACAATGATTATATGAGACTAGAGGTTCAAGTGAAAATGGACTCCGCTGATCCAATGGAATTTAATGGGTGTCGGATGTGAGACAGTTATCCACCTTAGACATTCGATGAAGGGTTACGCAATATCGTGGACCGGTTGAAGTTAGACATTAACATCGTTGGATACCGGTTTAGAGGTTGGGCATTCACGTGCGAAACCGAGGGCCCAAAGTTCGAGTTCCGCGTGCGGGTGGTGAGTGCGCACCGCTGAGAGATCCCATGTCAGGATGAGACGGTCGTCTGGTGATTCTAGGTTTTCAGTAGTGGTCTAGCTTAGGTTGAAAATGGATTATTTCATATTTGTTACATTGAGATTGTTTTCTTATTATTCGATTAAAATGACCAATAATGATTAAAAAGTAAAAGTAAAATCTTTCGTAGTAAATTTCATTTATAGACTACTACACTTATTAGGGATGGTTTGTAAATCTGTTACTCGAACTTTTGATAATAACTTCTTGGTCGTTTTTTAGATCCTTAAAATTCTCCTATATTTGAGCTTTGAACAGTGGAAAAAACAAGTGGTTATTAGTAACGAAGGTTTTGCTTTAAGGTAAATTAATGTACAGAAAATAAAGGTATTTATCAGTTTATTGGTAACTTTTGGGAATTGGTAGGTATACACGCATAACGTGATACATAATCCATCAATTCGTTAAGAATTTCCATTGTGTTTCCAATGGATGCTGGTTGAACGAGATGTTCTTGGCTTTTTAAGATTTCATGCAGGAATTCTTGAGGGATCCTAACAACATTCGCCAAGGGATAATTTCAGTTAGGGTACCTAATTTGAAGTCCCCCAATAGTGTATATATGAATTCATCAAGGGTCGGACTTAGGACTCTCAGGTTTTGGGCTGAACACCAAGCTATTAGAACTACTGTTTCGACGTTGGCCTGTTCGTATTTCAATCACCAATCGATTCACTATATACCTTTACGATCACTCAATGATACTAGCGACAAAATAACTGTTCAATGGTTTCTGGTTTTCAATGGCATATCAAATGAGATCAACCAGTGATGATTATCACCTACAAATTTCAAAAAATCTTCACAAACCGCTTTATTCTAGAATAAAATATTTCTCTAATTTTAATAAAATATGTCTGGCCATTTTAGTTACGTTTACAAGGTTAGTTTCTTATGTATCACGAGATGATATATGCAAAAAAACTATTGGAAAGGAGTATGGGTTGAACAATGACTTCGTCTTAGATTGGAGCAACTGAGAGGGACTGCCCAGGATAGAGTTCGATGGAGACTCTTGGTGGGCGGCCTATACTCCTCCACGATGAGTAACAAGTGCAAGTAGATGGGATTAAAACTTTACAGAACACTGGGAAATGAATTCACTACCTTCACGTTTTAAGGTCAATGGGATCTGTTCAAACTGTTGGGTTCCATGGCTGTAGTTCTAAATTTTCAGTTTGCAAATCATAAATATTGTTTGTTTATTCCGATTGATATGACGAAACACGTAATCGAATTAGGATGAAGCCTCTTTCTGTTTGGATTAAATTTGATTTATATACGCCAAGCACCTCCAACATTGACGCGCTATGTTTGATGGTGTAAGAAATCTAGAGCCTGACAAAACACCACAAGACATCAGTCCATGAAACTAATTAACTCCTGTACTGAACTATGTTGCTAAGTGCAGATTACTTAGTTGTTGTCCTCACCGCTATTGTAACTGATAGTTGTAGACTTCAGGCTAAATGTCTCAGAATCGGTAGCAACAGTACAGATGCATTCCCTATTTATTTTCCTTTAGAACTACTTCATACCTTATATTTTGAGGAATCCCATTCTTTCTCCTAAAACCACATTCATTAAAACTAGTCTTTTTTACGATATCCCCCATTATAATTACTTCTTACACTCTAACACACCTTGATGATTTCTAAAGGTTAAGCGTTCGCGTGTGAGACTGAAGGCCCAGGGTTCGAGTCCCGCGAGCGGAATCGTGGGTACGCATTGCTAAGGAGTCCCATAGTATGCTAATTATAACTAGCTAACGTTGAATGTCTATAATCTTTATAAATACTTCAATGTTTTAGTTTATCCTATTGTAATTTCTTTTTTCAGTGGTTTAATATCATTTCATCTTTAACATTTAATTCACAGTCACGTACATAAATTAGAGAAGTTACTGAATAATGTCAATCGAGTTACCTGTTACACCAAGCCTACATATATGCGTATATATGTATGTATGTGTAAAGAATGAGCACATTAATTTATTTATATATTTGTTGAAGTGATTAAAAGACAAAATTATACTGTAACTAAATAATATTGTTGATTTTTCTCTTAGAAAAGTCACTAACAAACTTGACATATACCACAGTTAAACAAATAAATTTGTTTCAATGTTACAATATATATTAGCTATTAATAAATTTAATCTCATGAATTTATTTAATAACACGTTGTCTTATCTCTTTATGTTCATCTAATAAATTAATTTCTTTTTGTTTTGTTTTGTTTTAAATAATCCAATCGGATAAATATATTCATATAAGATGGTAGTTGGAAGTAGTCAACAGGAAACTTTGGACCTAGATTTCTTGTTAATCGGCACTCGTCAGCAAGATGTACCTGTAATCTTGAGGGAACTTATGTCCTTGACAGATTCGATCCTGTGTCAACCAGCTTCATAGTCAGAGACTTTATCACTGAGTTATCCGGGACACGACAGACCTCCTGTAGGACTGATATGTATTTATAATTAATTGATCACTGTGTGGTGATCAATGCTATTTATGTCAGGTCTTTCTTAGGGCAGATCAAATCCTATCGATCAAGCTGGGTGACACGGGATTGAATCTTTCAGAGAGCATCAGTTCCCTTAAGATTACAGGTACATCTTGCTGACGAGTGCCAATTAGCGCGAAATCTAGGTCCAGTGTTTCCTGTTGACTACTTCCAACCACCATCTTATCTCAACATAGTACACGCAATGTTGAGTCACCTAGACTGGTTGCCATACTGCGACTTGCTCGATACGTTTCGATCTGCACTAATAAGGACCCGACATATATGACACTGATCATCACCCAGTGATCAATCAATTATAAAAATATTCATATGTTTATTTAACATTTAACATAGACATGAATTAACTTAATCACACTGAATACATTTTACAACTGAAAAAGACTGATTTCATCCATGAATATTTATCATATATAGCCATCTTTCTAAGTTGATAAGTTCAAAAATCTAAGGCATAATTTAAATAATTATATCATTAATTAACTAGTATCCATGATAAAGAAGATATTGATAAATAACGAAATTGTAAAAACTCATTGTTCAATATTTTATTGTTGATTAATAATTAAACTCTTCTCATTTCAACTTGAACATTCTGTAACTGGACGATGATAGTTTCAATTATTTTAGGTTAGATTTTGTTATTACTGGTATCGATGACAAAAGCATAGAACGAGATCTCATATTGCATAATTTACATCACTGAAAACCAGAAAGAACTGAAAGGCTGTATCGTTTAAGTATGAGACTCCTAAGCATTGCGTATACACAGTTTCATCTGGGGTAGAACCAGAGGTCTTTAGTTCTCAGTTCAAAGGCTTGGTAGCTTAGACAACTAAGACAGTATCCAGCAATTTACATGTTGAGAGTGCACACCTGAGGTGTCACATACTACGTTGATATTGCTTCCTATTGCTTCCTAATCTTCAGTATTTGTTTAACTAAGATCAGTCGCTGATGTAAGCTATAAAATTCAACGATCTCCACAAACCATATATGGTTTTAAAATTGACCTTTGGGGTTTAGCAATTGGTTTTCAATCACCCCTAACTCTAAGTATTTTTAATATGGTGTTTCAATATGAGTAAAAATCAATTTCTCCCAACAAAACCGTAAGCAGTCCCCATAACCGACTTCATTTAGTTTCCACGTTGTTTATGTAAATAATCATTGATAGGCCAACTAGACGAGGTTGATGAAAATCAAGTTTATGACAGAGGTATCTATTAATAGGTGGATTAGTATAAATATGATTTGATGTTGACAATCTTCAAGAAACCCTAGGCCCAGCTCTTGTGACGCTTAACAACCCTCATAAAAATTTATCTAGAATTTTGAGGGAATCACTTTTCTAGATAATTATATCATTAAGCTTAATCGATCAGGAACTGGTCCCCCATCATTTTTATAACTGCAACATTGAGTGATACAGCCTCTTATTCCAAATGTAACATCATTTCCATCAACATTAATTCACTTTGCTGATAAATCCACTTTAGTAAAAAACACAATTTTAAGGCCTCGTAATGATTTTCAACAATCATGCAACAATACCAATCATTTCTAGATTTTTCCACATTTTTATACTTTCTTTTCCTCAATAAAAATATTTACAGATCTGAAATTCTCAACTGAGGACAAAACGATGCATCCTACTGACTTAATGATGTGTAGTAAACAAACTAACGCCAAAGATTATTCTTATCAATCATCTACAGACTGTAATTTAACAAATCCATCTATTGTAAGCAGTACTGTTCAATGTAAAGAATCAATAGATCAGTTAAAAAACTCTAATTTCCATTTACATTCACAATCAACAACTCAAAGTCAACAAGATAATGATTTAATTGAACATTGTACAGATATTATTCAAGCTAATGATCAAAACATTCGTTGTAAAACTATGGAAGAGGTAAATATACAGAGAAATTGTATACAACAAACAAGTCCAATAACTTTTAATGATCGTTACGTTTGTTCGCCTGGATCACCGTTATCAAATGAAGATATATTGAATGATTCCAATGTGGTTAATTTTATGGGAAGACGAAATAGAACAACATTTTCTGAGAAACAAGTAACTTAATATTTTTTCTTACAAAAGTATTTTTTTTTTTGGTCAATAAATGTATGATGATGACGTTGATGATGATATCTCTCTCTAACTCCCAAACTTACAGAGTTTAGAAAACGTCCATAACAAATAGGCGAACAGTGAATCAAATTGATGTACTGAGTTTTCGGTTTTTAGCATATGTATGCATTCAAATACATTGAATTTGACTGGTTGGTGAAAACTTTGAATGACCTGTTTTCCGATTAAGGAATATTTTTGGTTAGCCTATTAACTAAATACTAATAAATGCCGACTGTATATACTCATGTATCATAAGAAAAGGTTTCTGAGAGGACAAATGCTAGAAGGCTCAAAGAGAAATGCCTTAGAAGTTGGTATATTCTGCTATTTGTCGACACTTTGAAAAAAAAGAGTGATAAATATTCTGAAATTTATATAACAGATGTACGACTAACGGAATAAATAGTCATAGCAACTAAACTGGGTAAAAACATATGTGATAAACAAAGAGTTGGAGATACTGTCTGTCCAAAAATCTTTAGAAATTATAATTCCGAACAATTACGATTTGAATATATGTTAAACAGAAATTTTTTGCAGGGTTTTACAGTAGGTACTAGTAATTTCTTACTGGGAAAAGATTTATGATATTGAATACACTTAATGTTATTATTATTCATCGCAAGTCTATAACTGTCATTTATAATTACCGGAGTAATAATTATGCATGGGCTTCGTTGTACTAGATTTTAATTCTACTGACAGATAATTTGAGCTCGAAATGAATTATACAGAATCCATTTCTATTGTGATCCATACTTAATACTTTATAATCAGACCCTTATAGTCGAATTTATCCAATGCTGACCACAAATATCCCATATTCAACAAATAGAAGAACTACGTTTAATTCAGTGTGCAGTTTTTCTAATATAACGTTGAACTCTGATGAAGACATTCTCGAAATGTCTAATCAGATTTCATTGATATTGTCTGAAACTACGTTTGTTGAGATAAACTACCAAATGAATGTTAATGAATAAACTCAAGCTTTTTGTACTTAATTGACAGTTCAAATTTTTTGAAAAGCTCCAGAAAAGTTTTATTTTCTTGACAGAATAATTCTTACTACTTGTTAGTAGTATAACTATAAATCAAGATTGTCTCTTCAACGTAGAATCTCGAGCAAACAGATATGAACTCATGATAACTGACAACGAAAAAATATTCATCCCAAGTTCACTGACTATCCTTGGTAAATAGGTGAAAGAATACATTAATATACTAATTCCTTCTATTTTTTCACAATATACACCTATAGTGGTTTATATTTTGTATATTCCTACTTGTACGGTGTTATTAATTCAAAGTATTATTTAAAATAATAATATTATTGAAGTAACTGAAAAGTATTCAGGAAAGCAATTCACTACACAACTACATAGACCGAAAGGTGTACATCTTAAGCAGTAGCTAAAAATTTGATGATAAGTTAAAGACTTACTGGCCTAGTTCTCCTTGAAGATTTCCCGAAATATCTGATATACTCTGAATATGTGAATTTAATCTTAAATAAGTTCTATGTTGATTTGATTAAATAATGAAATATTTGAAATCACTGAAATAGTAATTTACCTGTGAATCCCACCATCAAAATCCCAATTTCATACATTTTAGAAAGGATGGATATGATTTAGATAGACAGTTTTCCAGAATAATTTCAGATATTCATATTTCTATATGCAGACTTTCAGAAAATTGGTCCTCTCATTTAATATTACAACTTTAAGAAAGGCTTCATATAAAAATACAAATACCCAAAACTGTTCTAGGATGCTCTTTTATCTCCTTTCGCAATTTTATAGAGGTTACTAGAGCTCATTCAAAACTATAACCCTTATGTATTTTACTCATTATTTATGTCAGTTAATTATCAAAATGATACAAAGTAATCGTCACCGATTTCATTGAAATTTAAACTTTTTAAAATCGGGACTTTGGAAAAGTGAGAATCCGCGTTGATATGTAGACAGTGTAAAAGCAATACAATAATGTATTTGATTTGAGAGCATGTAAAATCAACAACGACTACGATTGCTACCCTCTTCTTCGTAACACCTTTACAATTATTCGGATAAATGTTAAAAAAAGACTTATGCTGTAATCGTGAAAATCTATTATTCATCTGAGTAAAATGCTTCATTTACATTTTTAACTAGTTTAAAATTACAATAAAAAGGGTGAATAAATGATCAGTGCTGACTAGTCAAACGGTAAAACTACTTGTCTGTTATATCTGCGTTGCCTATTACTTATACTTGAAAAAAGGGGGAATCATTACGATTCTAACGACTCAAAGTGCGAACACAAAAGACTGGTCCAAGTGGAGATTTGTTCATTCAAACATACAGTTATTCTATGCTGGTTTGTACATTATTTATTTACTTAAACACATAAACATTAGTACAATGAGGCACTAAATATGTATACGCCATTCAGTTTGTGTGAGGGCTGAGATACTGCTCAGAGCCCAAACCGAAGCGGATGGTTTTCTTGAAGGACCACTCCCCAAGCCTTTGACCTAAAGGTCTGATCCACAAGGTAGTGGAGCAACGTTATGAGGTACAGTCTCATGGCAGCCGGTGACCAACAATTGGTTCATACGCCACCTGTTCCCTCGGGGTCCTGGAGTCCATGTGCACCACTGGCATGAAATCAGGGTTTTCGAACTGCCCTAAGTGTGGATCCTCCATATCCACAAACTCGTTTAAAGCGTCAAACATTCCATTTTCCCCCTCTCATTTACGTAAACAACACTGCTGAGAGAAGGCAGGGAAGAGGAATTCCCTGACAGTGGTTGTATACGCGTGGTCATTTGAGAGCGTTTCGAAAGGGGGAGTTACCTATTCACACCCTCAACCGTACTAGGGAATTCGGGGACTGATCTGTACATCCTCCTGGCTATTGATTCAAATAAGTCACATTTACGAAATTTAGCAAAATCCCATGCTGTATGTTGTACCCCACACAGTTCACGTTCATTTAGTACAAAAAGTATTATGCACAATAAAAATCACACAGAAAATGGAACTAATCTTATGTTGAACAAACTATTACACTGAAAATAAAACGTATATTATCCAGAACAGTTATCATATTGAATTTTTTGAAAAGAAAATAATATTCAACATCAGTCAGAATGAATTAAGAAAAAAACGTGATCTCGCCTTTTTATCCCGTCATATTGTGATGTATGCTACTGGTGTCGACAGATTTAAGTAGTATATATCATCAATCAAAAGTGAAATGCCTGGAGGCAGAAAGTTAAGATCGAAGAAAGAGAGCGAGAACAAAGAATTATTGGTGTGTAAACGAAAGAACAATGAAGTCTGAGACGATTGACTTATATTTTCAAAAGGGACAGTCAGGTCTAAGACAATTGATTAAGATTTTGCAAATGAAGTATTTACTGTATGGTTCCCAGATTTTTCATTCGACTTTCCACACTTGTATTCTCGTTTACTACAATATCATTGTCCAATCAAACTATTCAAACGGTTTGGCGGTATGAATTAAACTCTGAAAATTCTACTTCACTGATCAAAAGCTTAATTATTAATGTTAATTCTTAATTTTATCAAATCCAGTTCGTTGTGTACATATTCTTATGGAACTGATTTCTTTGGTATTGGTTAATTTATAATTCTTTTAATAGTTGAGATCGTGCCCATCCATGATTTTGCCTCGCGGGATTCGGGTGAGATCGTGGATGCGCACTGCTGAGGATTCCCACAACAGAACGAAACGGCCCTCCATTGCCTCCAGGTTTTCCATGGTGGTCTAGCTTCAATTGACTGACGATCTCAACTATTAAAATTACTGTAACATCCAAAAAAACTCCCTCTGTTATAATTCTTTATAAAATTTTCTTCACATTAATTTCCTATATCATTTTGTGAATTAAATGGATATTAACTGAATAGATGATTACATTTTTGTGTTTTTCTCAGGTGGAATTCCTCGAATCCGCCTTTAAACATACACATTATCCTGACTTGCAACTACGTGAAACACTTGCCTATCAGACTAATTTACCTGAATGCAAAATTCAAGTAAGTTCTCTTTTTTTATTGTAGACAAAATGAAATATGTTTATTCACTTACAATGATTTAGTTCAATTGAATAACTTCTCCAATAATAAGTTGAATGGTATGAAACCGAAACATTAGATGAATGACATCTGAATAAATGATTTAAATGTATCATGTTCGTCTCAAAGCTCAAAATTACTAATAAATAGTTGAAGGTAATTCGTAAGAAACCTTTAATTTAAGTTGCGTTTTTTCTTTGAGTGCAAAAATCAAAAAGGTAAATATTTAGTAATCAATGCTTTTTTTAACTTTGTCAGCCATCCTATCTACCCACCCTTGAACCACCAAACAACATGACACATTTCTAGGATCTCTTTCATCTACTTCATACATCCATATAATCGAGTCAGCTCAAAATTGGGTAGTCCAGAAATAAATTCTTTAAATCTATCTCTGTTTGTTTTAAAATCCAATTCCTATAGAAGTACGAAATCTCTTAAGTTTGCATTATCTATCGAGTTAACAAATACAAAAATCTATGAAACTTCGTTACATAACAGTCCAATATTTATCGTTAACAACAATAACTACTTATAAGTAGCAACATATAAAAGACTAAATTAAATCTCAAGGATTTTATACTTTCCCAGTCAAACGTAATAATTTCTTTAGTGATTGTACTATTGAATAAATACCGCACTGTTGGATAAGCCTTTTCGACAAGGCAATTTACTAGTGTTAATAACATATTTTTCTGCAACTTAAATATTTCCGCTCATTCAAACTCCTTTATTAATGATACTGTCAAACAATAACTAGAAAACCTAATAATACTAATACTAATACCAGTACTAATACTGCTACTACTGCTAATAATAATAATGATAATAATAATAATAGTAATTGTAATAATAATAGGACACATTCCAGATAGGGCTGTATTGATCCGATTAAAGATAAACATTTCGTGTTTTACCATCAGTGTTCAGGTATATGACTGCCCAGTTGTCTAGGCAACTAAATATACGAAACATGACTTCTTTTCATTTAACTTAACAGCATTAAAATTTAAGGACATTATTATTTATTTTTATTGAGAGATATAAAGCCAGAACATTGGGATAAATAAAAAAATGTTTTTAAAGATGACATTTAGGATTACAGATATTTCTTTCTTTCTACCATAGTCAATATTAAGTAACTGAAATAGTAATAATTCGATGGTTATTCGTTTATCTTAAATAAACAATGACAAAGTATTCAGTTCAATAGAAAATAGTCTGTTATAAATGGTTGATTTTCAGTTTCATATTAGTCTATATAATTTTGTTCGACAGAAACTGTACTAAAACTTACAAAGTTTTTTTAATGAATTATGTAGAGATTCACATCATTAAATGATAGCATCTTTAGGGTCATTGATTGTAATGATGGTTTGACCATCTGTCTCGTCATAATTTTAAACTTATTAACAGTGTATACACAGAACTCTCAGAGCACTGACGCAAATACATAATTAAACGTAGGTACTTGAAATCTTACGGCTAGCACTATCAGAACCAGTAGTGTATATTTAAAATGATAATAAGTGTTGGTTTTTCGGAGAGCAGAGTAGTTCGACTGAATAATTTTTAGAGAAACACAATTGACCAGTGAACGTTTATGGTTCCCCATTGTTGATATTCAGGTCTGCAACCAGTTAGTCTCTGTTGGCATATATATATATATCTTGAGTGGATTTCGCCGATATAATGTTATAAATTTTAGTATATTTGATAAACGGTTAACAGAGGAATCTGAGAACCGCGCTTTGTTCAATGTGGAATTCTTCGGCTAGATTCATATAGATCCAGCTATTAATGTCCACATTGAAACGCGAACCCAACAAGAAGTTTCAAACAACTTACTGATATCTTCACCCCACATGAATAAGTTAATGGCTATCTGGACTTAATAATTCAATGGGTAATGCGTTAAATGTTTGAAGTGGTAGATAGTGAGCTTGAATCCGATTGTGAACATCAATATTGGGATGTTGTAGGTAAATCTAGCTGAAGAGCTCCAAACAGGATGAAACAGACTTGGTAGGTTCCACTGTAAGCCACTATTCGTATATTCTACGGTAGTTCACATAGCATATTTATACATATCATTAAGCTTGCTACAACTAGAAACAAGATTGATTCTTCAAAATTCTATAAACGAAAAAAGAATTATCAGTCAAAAGCGTTGAAAATAATTGCGAGTTAATTAACGAGAAACACATTGAAGAAAATCGATTCATTCGAAACCTTTCCTTAATATTTTGTTTTAAATTATGACACAACGATGAAGTACGATTTCAAGTATAAATCACGTACAAAATCGATATGTTATGATACGAAACTAACTATTGGTCATGTTCAAATTTGATGTAATTATATTTAATCAAGTTGACTTGATAATAAAGATTATTTCGCCAAGGCATACAAAAAGCCGTGATAATACCAACGGTTCATGATCTCAATCAAAAACTTAATAATCTCCACAACCCCTATACTAGTAATTAACATGTGCTCACTAGTGAATAACTTCGTTAGGGAATTCTCGGAGTTCTAGTGAGAAGCCGTGACCAGTGGAGCTAATCCATGTCAAGTAGAGACAGGTATCTACCTCAGTACAATGGAAGATGGTCGCGCAATTTCGTGGATTGGTTGATGTTAGACACTGTCACCATTGGATGCCGGCTCAGTGGTCCAGTAGGTTAAGCGTTCGCGTGCGAGACCGAAGGCCCTTGGTTGGAATCCCGCCAGCGGGATCATGGATGCGCATTGCTGAGGAGTCCCACAATAGGACGAAACGGCTGTCCAGTGCTTCCAGGTTTCCAAAGGTGGTCTTACATCAATCGATTTGTGATCTCAATCTAATACCAACTCGATAATACAGTTTTGGTTACTAGTGCTATTAGCTTCGAAAAGAATTTCTCAACATTCTCATTGATACCTATGATCTATAAGGCTAATAATTCAGGGATACGACAATAACTAACCTATTATATCTGAAGAGTATAGCTCAATATCGTAAAGAAATGGTAGATAAGATTCGCAACTCGGGTGAGTATTTTAGATAATGTTGTGCTCTCTTAGGTGGATGGTTTATATATAAAGAGCTTTCAGTTACATTTTGTACAACATCACCAGAGCTTACTTCATATTGTTCTCACTAGAAGACATAGTAATCAGAATTCAACTTTTTGGAAGATTGTGAAAAAAATACTGGAAGAAACTTGAATTTTATCAGTTTTTAAGTGATGACATCTTGAAGTAAAATATCTGTTCCCATGAAAATCGTAAGGTCGGTTCAAGAATCATTCCAGGTCGATTGTATCATATTGTTACATCGCAGATTTCTCATTGACTGATACTAAACAATAAATTATTTATTCATATAGGTATGGTTTAGTAATCGGAGAGCTCGTTGGCGTAAACAAATCAATTTTACTTGTCAAAATACTTTGGAATTAGTGAATTCACCATGGCATACTTTTAATAAACAACCAAAATGTGAAGTATTCACATCAAACAATGATGAAATACAACAACAAGCTATACCTCTATCTTCAATAAGTAATAAACATTATATTAATGAGATGATATATCCACATACAAAAACATCACATGATCCATTGAGTACTGAACACTTAAAGAATACTGGATGGAATTTAGAAAAATTAATCACAACAACAAGAACACATGAAGTTACAAATTGTGAAAAACTACAATCTTCTCCATGTTCAGAGAATAAAATACTTAATGATTATTGTAATGTATTATTAAAACTTTATCAAACTAAACAATTAACATCAAATGAATTAAAACATTGTTCAAATAATTTATTAGATCCTATTCAATGGAATTATTCAATTAAATCAAATGATTATCAAACAAGTTATTTATCACCTTCAAAAGAAACTCAACAATTATTTCATACATTTGAAGAGAATTCTGAATGTTCATTGAAATCAGTAAGTTTAGTTATAAATAATGACATGCTAATAAACTATCAACCGTTTTTTTCTTTGTTAAATTAGCCAATTTATCATAGCAGTAGTTTAAGTTAATTAAAATGAGCTAATCACAGGGATTATAAAACTATTTTTGGAAGTTATAGGCATTCAATTCCTAGCTGTACACATATTAACTAACGATGTTCCGTTCAATATATCAGTCAATCATAATGTATAAATAACAAGAAGTGTCAAATTATCTATTCCTTAGTGTTGAGCAAATTCTGTTGATCAAGTCGAAATACAATAGACAAACTAAACAATTCAATATTACAGTGCATTTTATTTGGATTTCAGTGGTTAAAGGTAAATGGTAGGAACTGAATTATTCAAGTGAACAACACTTTGCCCTCAATATAAGCAAGTATTTTACTGAATAAAACCTTTATCATCAATATTTTATTTAGGCTGGTAGATCAGACTGCATCAAGGTAATACATCAAGTGAAACACAAATGTGAACAGGTTATTATTGTATATAAGTGAACTATTTATCTACTCATGACCACCAAATCATCCACGTGTTTCCATAAATTCTGCAATCAATACATATTCATAAAATAAAAATATTGATATTGTGGGACTTCTCGGCATTGCGCATCCAGGATCCCGCTCGCGTGACTCAAACCCAGAACCTTCAGTCTCGCTTACGAACGCCCAAACTATTAGACCACAAACGGCATCCAACAGTGTTAATGTCTAACCTCAACCAATCCCGTGAGCAGGATCGTGGATGCTCACTGCTGAGGAGTCCCACAATAGGACAGAACGGCCGTCCAGTACTTCCAGCCTTTCAATGGTGGTCTAACATCGATCGCTTCATGATCTCAATCAATAACTTAATAATCTCCACAACTATATTCTGAAAAATATTAGTACTTAAGTTTTAAAAGTAAAGTTTCGCACTCATTTTGATTTTTTTCTTCATCCAAACAGCTAGTGCTTAGTCAAGTGTTAAGAAAGTGGTAATGGATGAATCGAAACGTAAAATATAAGAGTTGCTTCATGACCATCTTGAATTTTCTTTTACTTCCTATCTCTTTCACTATAATATAAAATAATGACATTGTTAAGGTCCCTTGTTATTACTCAGATAAGTAAACCAATATTAATTCTACGTTTCTTTTTGTTTTCTTCTTTTTTTAAAAAAAAATCAAACAGGGATTCGCTACACAGAGCAAATCTATGGATTCTAGTAAAACAACTCCGAATAAACCATCAAGTTCAACTATGACTGAAAATAAATATTCAATTCAAAAAGAAATAGATGAATTAAATAATAATAATAATTTAGAAATATCATGCCATTTATCATTATCTAAATTGTATCCATTAAAAATAGATCATAATTCTGATATCAATGAATCCATTGAACCAGATTCTACAATGGATAATCAAAAATCACCTTAAATTCAAATCATTTAATTTATTATTATGAATTAAAACAACATTTATTTCATTGTACAGTATACCAAAACAATAAAATGAATAGTTCTTTACTTCAATATTTCAATACAATACTACTTATATTGTAAATATAAAACAGATTTGAAATATGTACCAAAAAAAATTAGCATTCATATTGGTCATTTTAAATTAACTAAATTAAGAAAGAATAATAATAATAATAATATTGAATTGTTTTAAATAAACATATCGAAAGGGCGGAAAATTCAATGTTCAATGTACGACATTTTAAAAACAAAAGCTTATTACACTTGATTTATTAGAGAAAGTTTTTAAAGTTTAGCATAAATAGTAGACTGTTTTACACGTTGGAATGTATGTCGTAAGAGATAATCCAGGAGGTAGATACAGTCAACAACAACAAAAAGACAAGACGGTGACAAAAACGATTAGAAATCGATTGAAATATTAGTACATTACCGATTGAAAAATCAGCTGTTTGAATATATATATGTATATGACATATCAGACGAGTGACCAGTCTAAAAACTGATCATTTATTTTTTTTTACTTACACAAACTATTACTTGAAATATTTTTATAAAGTGAACAAATGTATTACGTGAAAATTGTCTATTTAGATATGTTTATACATTCATGAGTGTGAAAATGCATGTGTTCATTAAATGACTATTACTTTAGAAAGCATAGTTTAACTGAAGTATGGTAACAATGTCAACAAATGATTTGATTCATTCGTTGAACTACTTTTGTCGTCTGAAATAGGAGAGAAAGAGAGAGAGAGATGAAAACAGGTCCTAGTGAATGTATTACACAATTGATTGATCACTGGGTGGTGATCAATCTTGTGTGTGTCAGGTCTTTCTTAGTGCAAACCGAATGCTATCGACCAAGTTGCAATGTGGCCACCACTCTTGGCGGCTCGACATTGCGTGCACTATGTTGAGATAAGATGGTGGTTAGAGGTAGTTAACAGGAAACCCTAGACCTCGGTTTCGTGCTATTTGGCACTCTCCAACTACATCGAGAATAAGACAGGTATTACTGATAGGCAAAGATGACTGATTCATTGTGTCATAAATTGAGTGAGGTTGAATTCCGATTCAGTAGTCTGAATGTAATGCTCATACACCATAACTTGTAGTTTACCCCCATTTAGTACCTTATATTTCACTGACACATAATATCAGAAGACATAACCTGGCCTGTGCAGTTGAATACAGCCAGTATAGCAGCAGCCTCTGCATCAGTACTCCTCAACGCACACAAGTGAAAAAGTAGGTCCTCAAACACAACACAGACAGAGTCAACCAAATCAAACTCGATGGAGAAAGTCTGGAAGAGGTGGAATCCTTCACGTACTTGGACAGCATCATCGATGAACAAGACGGATCTGACGCAGATGTAAAAGCAAGGATTGACAAGACAAGTACAGCATTCCCACAGTTGAATAACATATGGAACCCAAAACAACTATCTATCAACAACGAAATCATAATCTTCAATATGAACGTCAAGACAGGTCTATTGTGCAGAGCTGAAATTTGGAAAACTACTTCAACCATAATCAAAATGGTACAGGTATTTATAAACAGTTATCTACATGAGAGAGGGAGAGAACAAATCAGGTTCTAGCTGAAGATAAAATAAGGAAAAGGCATTAGAAGTAGATAGGAAACATTGTGGAGATCGTCAGATTCATCACAAGGCACGTCCTTACTTGAGATCCTGAAGGGAAAATGAAGAGACAGACATCAAGAGAATGAATAACACCGGCGAAGGAGTGGAAAAGAGAGTCCATGACAGAGATGGTTTAGGAACTCTGGTGAGTAGCCTATGCTTTCGCGAGGGGTAAAATGCGCAGGTAATTAAGTAACCTGGCCTGTGTGCAAAAAGAATTAATGTTTAGTGAAGGGACCATTATTTGTATACATTCCTAGTCAACTAGAAAACGATGAAATAATTTGTGCTATTATGTTGATAAGAAGGATTTAAATTATTGTACAAACTAAGAATTCTCAAAACAGTGCAATTTAAGTCAGATAGAACTTTATAAGCACAAACGAACGTACTGTATTTGAAATTCGTAATCAGTGGGTAATCAAGCACGAAAGAATTATTAGTTCGTACAAATATCACAGTTGGTTGGTCCAGTAACAAAATAAATTGCATTGTTATGTCTGTCGATTCTAAGTGTTCTAGTCAGAAGCCTAGACCAGTGGAGTACAACCGGGGACCCTGTGGCATCTTCGTCTGGTCTTGCAGGCGTTGGTGTCACACTAAGCGCTCGAGCTGAGGCAGCACTAGTCGATTGGATCCCCATTAACAGTCGGTTATGTGCTGTTAGATTAGAAAGTTCCATCAAAGTGAGAAGAAATCGGCGTGAGAAACCATGTCATTTCGTCATCTCCGCCTATGCCCCGACAGATTGCAGCCCGGATGCAATCAAGGATGAGTTTTACCACCAGTTATCTGTTCTTCTCCAAAAAGTGCGTTCGGCAGATATTGTAGTACTAGCCGGAGACTTGAATGCTCAGGTCGGGCGTCCAGGCACAAAAGAGAGTCGTTTAGGTGGCCGATGGGGACTAGTTGGTCGCAGGTCAGATGACGGGGACCGTCTACTGCAACTGTGCACAGACCAAAACCTGTTTCTGGCTAGCACTAACTTTCGGCACAGTCATCGCCGATGTGCCACCTGGCGTCCTCCCTCTGCATCCCAAGCCTGGACTCAGATTGATCACATCGAGATCAGCTACCGCTGGCGTGGTTGTGTAAAAGACTGCCGCTCCTTTCGGAGTACCTATCTGGACTCTGACCATGCCTTGGTCTGCGCCAATCTTGCCTTACTTTTCAGTGGACAACGAAGTGACCGCCAGCAAAGGATTGATATTAGCAAGCTGGTTGCAACTTCTGTTGCAAATAAGTATCAAACCGAGCTAGCCTCTAGGCTAGCTACCACTCCACCGAAAAGTATAGATGAGCATTGGTTGCAATTGCATGACGCCATGAAAATGGCGGGAACAGTCAGTTGTGGGTTTGTGAAACGTCCCGCTTTTAAGCACTGGGTTTCTTCTGGTTCCTTACAACTCATTGAAGCTCGTTGGTCTACTCCGGGTGACCGTGAGTTTGACCATAAACGAAGGATGATATGTAAGGAAATTGGGCAAAGCTTGCGTAAAGACCGAGAAGCCTGGTGGTCGAAGCGTGCTAATGAGTTGGAAGCAGCAGATGCATCTGGTAATTACCGGAAGCTCTTCCAGCTCATCCGAGCCAATGGCAGCAAGAAGTCTGGTGTGAGTGAAACAATCTGCGAGGATGATGGGATGCCAATCACTAACATCCATCGACGTCTTGGACGGTGGGCAGAATTTTTCGAAGGGCAGTTCAACTGGCCTGCTGCTCCGGCAACATCGGTCAGACTGTCCTGCCCTCCATGGCCGGTGACGACTGATCCACCAAACGAGGAGGAAGTCCGCAAGGAACTCCAACTCTTGAAGCGTTACAAATCACCTGGCTTAGATGACTTACCTCCGGCTCTTTTTAAAGATGGTGGTGACTTTTTGACTAAGGAATTGACGACGTTGTTTACAAAGGTTTGGGAACTAGAGAGTGTACCAATGTCATGGAATCAGTCGATAGTTGTCCCTATCTTTAAAAAGGGTTCACGTCGTTCCTGTAACAACTATCAGGGGATAAGTCTACTTCCGATTGCGTCCAAGCTATTGGCTTCCGTCATTCTTCGTAGGTTGTTCAAAACCCGAGAAAGATTGACTCGCGAGGAGCAGGCTGGGTTTCGTTCTGGTTGAGGATGTATTGATCATATCTTCACCCTCCGCCAAATGTTAGAACATCGCCATACTTATCAAAGGCCAACAATCGTAGTGTTTCTTGACATCAGGGCTGCCTTCGGTTCGTTGGACAGAACTGTTCTCTGGGATTGTCTATTAAAGAAGGGTGTGCCTGAGAAGTTTATTAACATCCTAAAAGCCCTGTATAAAAACACCTCAGGCAGAGTGAGGGCATACAACCACCTCTCTCCATTGTTCCATTCGAGTAGTGTGGTTAGGCAGGGTTGCCCAATCTCACCATTCCTCTTCAACTTTGCCATCGATGACATTCTGGGAACAGCTCTGATGAATGTAAGTAATGGTGGTGTGGATCTGTTGCCTGGAGAAAGACTTCTCGACCTTGAGTATGCGGACGATATTGTCTTACTGTGCGATAATGCCCAAGGCATGCAATCCGCACTTAATCAGTTGGCAATCAGTGTCCGTAGGTATGGTATGTGCTTTGCACCATCGAAGTGCAAAGTACTCCTACAAGACTGGCAGGATTCCAATCCTGTACTCACCCAGGATGGTGAGCAGATAGAAATAGTCGAGAAGTTCGTGTATCTGGGTAGCTGCATAAGTGCTGGTGGGGGTGTGAGTGATGAGATCAATGCACGTATAGTGAAAGCCAGAGCGGCTTATGCCAATCTGGGCCATCTTTGGCGCCTTCGTGATGTTAGTCTGGCTGTAAAAGGTCGGATCTACAACGCGTCGGTGAGAGCGGTTTTGCTCTATGCTTGTGAAACCTGGTCTCTCCGAGTTGAGGACGTTAGACGACTCTCTGTGTTCGATCATCGCTGTCTCCGAAGGATTGCTGACATTCAGTGGCAACACCATGTCAGTAATGCAGAGGTTCGGCATCGTGTGTTCGGGCACAGAGATGATAATGCAATTGGTGTCACCACCTTGAAACACTGACTTCGGTGGCTTGAACATGTTCTACGAATGTCGTCCCAGAGAATTCCACGTCGTGCATTATTTGCCGACTCTGGGACTGGTTGGAAGAAGCGAAGAGGTGGTCAGTGCATGACATGGTGTCGTGGCATGAAAGAAAGCTGCAAAGGAATGGCTTGTGTTGGTCCTTCACGACTCCCTGGTTGGGGTCTGAGAGATGGTGCTACACAGTGGCTAGAGACGTTATCAGATATGGCT